GCAAATGCAGATGGCTATTAGCAACATGCTAGGCTGCTGGTGATGGTAGCTGGCAACTTTGATGGCAATCATCTTCATATTAGACAAAGAAGACCTTTGTGACACCACACACACATGTGCGCATGCACACACATATAAGTTGGTATGTATGTATGTTATTTGTTTTCCCCAAAGCTACCACTGAGGAATGTCGTTAAATGGTTAATGATCACCTACTTATCACCAATTGATTTTAAGTAGGATATGACAACCAGATAGCCATGCAAAGAATTGAACTCAGTGGTAAAGCGTGTTTGACTTACAACAATTATAGGACTCACTAGGAAGTAAGCATAGTGCAGTGTTGAGATCCAACAAGGGCGAGGCGAGATGTGGTTAAATGGTTAATGTTCACATACTTATCACCAATTGGTTTTAAGTAGGATATGACAATCAGATAGCCAACAAACTTCGTGATTAAGCGTGATTGACTTACAACAGTTACAAGATGATGAGGACATTACCATGGTAGTTCTCCTCTATTCATGGGGACCAATGCTATCTTATACTCCGTATTCTCTAATGATCGGTAGGACTAAAAGCTAAGAGAAGGCTACCATGAGTGATCCATTCCCCTTCGGATCATGGCCTTACGTGTGGTTTCTGAACCCATTGAGATGACCCAAGAATTTCGCTATTTCGATTTGTAATACATTTTACTTGCATGTAATTTTGTCTTGTTAACATTCATTGATCGGGTGCACCTACTTTCATCTATAAGGACACCTATTTTCACTTACAAATGCATGTAATTTTACCTTGTTAACATTCATTGATCGGGTGCACTTACTTTCACCTAGTTGCACCTAGTTATAACTATAAGTGCACCTAGATCTGAACACGTGGCGCGCGCTGAGTTATTCGCATTTCGCTCCTGGGTGCGGCATTCACACCTGAACGCAACTCTCTCTCCCCCCCCCCCTCTCTCTCCCCCCCCCCCCTCTCTCTCTCTCTCTCTCTCTCTCTCTCTCTCTCTCTCTCTCTCTCTCTCTCTCTCTCTTTGTGCATAGAAGATGCAAATTTAAACTCTGTGAGCAAAAGAATTAAAATTAATCCGTTTGAACTTCATATACATTACATATATTGGTGGTATTAAAGTAAAATAATTAACCGTTATAACATGAACATAAACTCTTCAACCAAACATGTTTATATTACATACATTAGTTTTAACCAAACACATAAATCCAACATTACCAGTGATAGAAACCCCAAATTTGCCGCCTGGATAGGAGGCTAGACATGGCAGCCAGACCAAGAGATGGCTCACTACTTAGCAAGGGGAAGATCGCCGAGGACTTCCCAGCCACGATGCGAAGCGCCTTACGATGGTCGTCGGGCGCTCTTAAGCGGCCAGCCCGCTAGCCGGCATGTCCCCAAGCAGGCTCCCAGATGAAATACGGTTAGGCGAACAGTTACGGTGGTCAGCGTGTTCCCGGCTAAACACCTAAGGGGTTTGAACGGGCGACCAGGCCACATGGGCGGTGCGTCCCCGATCGAACACTTTTCCGGGACCCGGTCGGGCGACCAGGCTCTACAGATGGGATGTCATTATCAGAAAACAAGGACTCAAGAGGGCGCCCCGAGCAGCCGGGACCATTCCTGACCGGGCACACACCCAGTAACGCGTTAAGCGGATTCTAGGGGAGCGATCTTCGCTCATTAGGCAGCTTCCTTAATTAGTTCATACAGAAAAGGCATTATGTTGACAGCACGTCAACCCTCATCTCCCCTTAGGTTTGGCTGCACGTCAGCCCTACTTACCATATGAGAATTCCGCATCTATGTATAAATATCCCCCTGGGATCATCATGTAAAGGAATTTTAGTCGGCACTTTGAGGGCAAAAACCCTAAGAGAAATAACATCGCATTATTCTCTCTCTATTACTTTATCTTTGCTCTCACTATCTCACAAAAACATCTCTACTCTCTTTTCGGTATTGTTGGCATGTCGAGCAGCCATCGAGGTTGTACAAACCAACAACCAAGAATCTAACATTATCAGCAATCTGACATTTTCTAAGGTAATCTGACATTTTGTGAACCAAATGGCCCTAGAAAATGATTTTTGAAAATTATTTTTCGTGTTTTTATTGTTTGGTAAAGAGTAAAAAATGAGAGTCAAAAGGAAAATGATTGTTTGATCAAAGGAAAATACTTTTATTTTATTGGAAACTGACTTTCTCTTTTTTTTTTTTTTTTTAATAGGAAGTCATTAACTCATTTTGCAATTTCTACACCAACACCACAACGTACTACCACTATCACCACTAGCACTAGCACTACCACTACTATCACCACCGCCACCACACCACTACCACCACCACCACCACCACTACCACTACCACCACCTTCACCACTACCACCTCCGCCACCACGCCACCACCACTACCACCATTTATATTGTTATTGTAAACGTTGTTATATTCTAAACAAACAATTAAAATGTTTAATTATACAATTATGCTCATTTTCCTGAAGATGAATAAAACACACTAAGATAGTTTTCTGGAATGCAACCAAACACGGGAAATGGAAATATTTTTTGAAAAATTACTTATTTTCCAAAAAGTATTTTCCAGAAGTCATTTTCCTAATTTCTAAACACACCATTAAAATTTTAAGCGTATTAGCTTTTACGGTATATAAATGATTTTTTCTAAAAATATATTTTTCCTTATTGCATTCATTGATCATGTATGTAAAATACTTATTGTGCAATCATTAAATATATTATAACTAAAATAAATTTACAATTCATTTCATCTTCTAGACTCAACCTGCTTAGATTAAAGGCAAAATCAGCATCAACATTGAAAACAAAAACACTTGGTATATAGGATGTGTAGCCACTGTTTAAAAAAGGTTTATGCACAAAGTGACAAACAATTTAACTTCAAGGTTATTACTAATTCAATAAAAAAAATTTAAAAAAAATAACACAAAATCAAGTACTACAATCATTCATACTAATTCCAACAATATGAACTTGGAAATGAACAGATGTTAAATGGATGTGGAATTGAAATTGTTGATGAAACTGGACACGTTGCGACATTAGTGTGAACAAAGAAAAATGAATTATATATATATATATATATATATATATATATATATATATATATATATATATATATATATATATATATATATATATATATATATATATATATATTTAAATTCAAAATTATGGTTTCAAGTAATATCAATGCGATGTGACTACAAGTCTCTTGATGGTTCTTTAATTCTTCAATTGGATGCCTTGAACACTCCACCACTGAAGGCCTTCGAAATTCAAGTGGCTTGATCTTCAAAGAAGAACTTATATGTTTGTTCTTCATTGAAGGGCATCCGGGTTCAAATGGCTTAATCTTCAATAGTGGCTTGGATCAACATGTATGATCTTCATGGAAGAGGGGCTTGTAATCCATGGATAAAACTTTCAGAATGCTTACACGATACCTGCACGGGTTTAGCTCAATGGTTTAGTGGGGAGTATTTGGGGTAAGAGACTAAGGTTCAAACCTCTGCAGTGGCAGTGTGGGAATTATGTCCATAGTGGACAGATTCTTTGTGCGCACTGGCATTTGGCCTGACCTATTAACCCATCGGTCGGAGTGTGGAGCCCTTAGGGTTGGGGATTTAGCCTTAATGAAAGGTCATTATCTAATTAAAATCAAAGATAGTATTTATTTAGACTATCATTTTTAGATTAAGTATTTAGACTATCAATTTTACAACACTAAAATATTTATTATTTTAGTGACAATTATAATGATCTCTTCTATATTATCTTGCATCCATATACTAATTTTTATTTATATAAAAGCGTGTGTATGTGCAGTGCGTGTATTAAAATGTCAAAACATTATCTTCGATCACATATTAGAATTGCCATTGTTTTTCTTTTCTTTTCTAATTTTCTAATTTGATATACTAAATTACCAACAGTTTTATTTAGACTATCATTTTTAGATTAAGTATTTAGACTATCAATTTTACAACATTAAAATATTTATTATTTTAGTGACAATTATAATGATCTCTTCTATATTATCTTGCATCCATATACTAATTTTTATTTATATAAAAGCGTGTGTATGTGCAGTGCGTGTACAATGTGAAGTAGAAAAACTGTTGGTAATTTAGTATATCAAATTAGAAAATTAGAAAAGAAAAGAAAAACAATGGCAATTCTAATATGTGATCGAAGATAATGTTTTGACATTTTAATACATTTTAGAGAGGCTTGGCATGCAATGCACGCCGTGTCGTACTACCACATGCATATTATGTGTTTGACTATAATGCACGTAACTCTTAGGAGGCGTTTAATTTGCATATTTGGTTTGCAAAATGATTCTTTTTTTTTTTTTTAAAGGAAATGAATTTTCATAAAGTATGAAAGATATGAGAATAAAGTACTAATTACGTTCTATACAAAATGTTCCCTTCGAAGGAGAGACAGATTTTTTTTTTTTTTTGAAACACTCCATTCTTTAAAGAGCAGTTAATCAAAGGCCGAGATTTATCCACATGTTTAACTTTCGGCTTTCTTTGCACCAGAGCCTAAGCCTACACACATACAATAGTTTTAAATGCGCACGTATTACGCGAGTGATTTAATGCTTAATGTTTGTATTTAAATAAGTTATTCAAAGTATTTCAATGTAACTTGGATGGTGTGGTTGAGTGGAAGTGTTAAGGAAAGAAATCACATAAATCACATATTTCTTCTAGCAAATATTTTCTCTTGTAATCTTGGTTTCATTATTATTATTCTTATTGATTCTATTTCCTTTCTCTGTACCTTATAGTTTGTATATATAGGGGTGTACATCTTCTGTAATGAACAATAGAGAATATTAGATAGTTCATACATTTCTTTACATGGTATCATTCCCAGGTTCTTGACCGACGCTCTCTCCTTGCATTGTTCCTGCCGTGTGCCGATGCCGTCATGACAGACACGGAGGTCGTCGATGCTGACAAGAGAGACGCTAGCAATAACGACGACGATGTCACGATGGTACGTCGTCGTCGTATCTCTCCACACGATCTTTCTCCTAGCGATAACCCGGGTATGCTTCTAACCCAAGTTGTTTTGAAAGGGGATAATTACGATGAGTGGTCTAAATCTATGAGACTTGCTCTTCGTGCCCGAAAGAAGTTCGGATTCGTTGACGGATCTATACCCTTACCTGTACCGACTTCTGATGATGTGGATGATTGGTGGACGAACCATTCATTGTTGGTATCCTGGATACGTAACACGATTGGACCAACGTTGCGTTCCACGATCTCTCATGTTGAACTTGCATCTACTCTTTGGGATGATTTGAAAGCTCGTTTTTCTATAATTAATGGGCTACGGGTTCAACAACTTAAGCGCGAGTTGACGGAGGTCAAACAGAGGGGTCTCACCATAATGGCCTACTATGGTAAAATGAAGAAATTGTAGGATGATCTTGTTGATGTGGATCGTTATCCTACTTGTGTGTGCAAAAAATGCACTTGCCAAATTGACGCTGCTTTAGACAAAAAACATGAAGAAGAGCGTGTTCATCAATTTTTGATGGGCCTAGACGAAGGGGAGTATAGTTCTATTCGCTCACAGCTCCTGTCTCTTGAACCCCTGCCTACTATGAGTCGGGTTTATAATATCTTGGTCCAGGAAGAGACGGCTCGTGTCACGGTCTGTGGTACTAAAGGAGGCACCAGTGATGCTGCGGTGTTTGCAACTATCAAGGAGATTACATGCACCAACTGCAAAAAGCCCGGTCATACTATTGACACATGTTTTAAGCTGATAGGCTATCCGGAATGATGGTCTGGAGGTCGAAACGGGGAACGTGGTGGCCGTGGAGGAGGCCGTGGCAGCAACCGCGGCGGTGGGAGAGCCGGCAGGAATGACGGTCGCGGTATATTCGGACAACATCCCAGCGGACAGGTGACAACACATGCCGCAACCGCTGACGCGTCATTCACTGCTTTTCCGGACTTCGACAATCTTACTCCCGAGCAGTGGAATGCAGTTCGTCATGCCTTGTCTTTGTCTCCAACAGGGTCAACTTTGAACGAATCGTTGTCAGGTATTCCTTTACCTCGCTGGATTATTGATACAGGGGCATCAAATCACATGACAGGGAATATTAATTTATTGAGTAATATTCAGCAAACAGACCCTTGTACCATTGGTTTGCCAGATGGAAGCCGGGTTATATCAGTGATCAGGAACGGTCTGTTTGACGGACAATTTGATTTTGATGAATGTTTTATTTGTTCCTGTTTTAAGTTGCAATTTGATATCTGTTTCCCAACTGACGAAGGACTCAAAATGTGAAGCACGTTTTACAGACAAATCTTGTGTATTACAGGACCTAAAGACAACGATTGGTGTGGGTGAATATAGAGAAGGGTTTTACTACTTCAAACAAGATGGAAAAGAAAAAGCGTTTAATGCAGTTAAGGAACATAGTTTTGATTTATGGCATAAATGTCTTGGACACCCCTCATCTCGTGTTTTGTCTTTTGTCCCTTTAGCAGGCTCTATTAAGAACAGTTGTTTAGCTAATAATTTTTGTGAGATTTGTGTACGCGCTAAACAATCACGTGCTAGCTTTCCTATTAGCATTCATAATTCTAGTGGCATTTTTGATATGGTGCATTGTGATTTATGGGGGCCGTATAAAACACCAAGTCTGAATGGGTCTACATTTTTTTTGACAATCGTCGATAATCATTCTCGCGGAGTTAGGGTATATTTGTTGCAGTCAAAACGCGATGTGGTCCCTATGTTCCAACAATTTTGTGCTTTGGTGACCCGTCAATTTGAAAAATATGTCAAGTGTGTTCGGAGTGATAATGGGACAGAGTTTGAAGGGTTGAAAGAATACTTCCGTACACACGGCATCATATATAAAACATCTTGTGTTTCCACGCCTCAACAAAATGGAAGGGTTGAACGTAAACATCGTCACATCCTCAATGTGGCGCGGGCACTCCGATTTCAGGCTTCTCTATCTATAAAGTTCTGGGGCGAGTGTGTTCAAACTGCGGCATATCTCATCAACCGGACTCCTTCTTCTTTGCTAGGGGGCTGCTCCGTTTGATAAAATTTATGGAGGGGTTCCACCTTTATCTCACATTCGTGTTTTTTGTTGTAGATGTTTTGTGCATAATCAGAAGCGACATGGAGACAAATTTGCTGAACGGAGTATTCCTGGAATATTTCTTGGTTATCCTCCTAGCCAGAAACGGTGGCATGTTTATTGTTCAGACACAGGGAAAATTATTGTTTCACGAGATGTTATTTTCTCGGAGAATGTGTTCCCCTTTACGCAGGAAACAGAAGCAGACTCGGAGTCGCCACCTCCTAACCAGGACAACCTCATCCCCGAAGAGGAGGAGGAGTGCGTGGATAGTGTTCGGCCTGTCCCCGGTGCCAGGACACCCGCCGAACCAGCCACCCAGACCAACGACCTGCCCGTGGGCGGTACTACTACCGGCAGAGATGAGGTGGCAGTCTCGGAGGTTCCAGTCCCTGTCCTAGTTGATCCGAGCCTTGATCAAGTTGCTGACCCCGATGCACAGGGCCGAGGACGGTGAACGCGTACTCCTAGTGTTCGCCTTACAGATTATGTAACATACATAGTCATTGGAGCGCCTGGCACGTTATGCAAGTATCCCATCACTACCTATATTGGGTATGACAAGTTTTCCTTGACTCATAAATGTTATCTTGCTTCTCTTGATACCGAAGTGGAGCCCAGAAATTTTCGTCAAGCAATTTAGTGTGAACCATGGAGGAAGGCTATGCGTGCGGAAATTGATGCTTTCGAGAAGAATGACACATGGACACTTGTACCTGCTCCCAGACACAAGAAGCCACTTGGGAGTAAGTGGGTCTACAAAATAAAAAGAAAATCTGATGGAGCATTGAGCGCTACAAGGCACGACTGGTGATATTCGGCAATCATCAGGTTGAGGGTCTTGACTACAATGAGACCTTTGCCCCGGTAGTAAAGTTAACAACTGTTCGCACTCTTTTAGCTGTGGCTGCAACGCGTTCTTGGGAGCTACATCAAATGGACGTGCATAATGCGTTTCTTCATGGCGACTTAGATGAGGAAGTTTACATGAGGCTTCCACCGGGGTTCGCACCGTCACAGTCCAACGTGGTGTGCAAACTCAAGAAGTCTCTTTATGGGCTAAGACAAGCCCCACGGTGCTGGTTTGCAAAGTTGTCAAGTGCTCTGAAAGGGTATGGTTTCACACGGTCCACATCTGATTATTTGTTGTTCTCGTTGCGCAGTGATCATGGTGTGGTACATGTTTTGGTGTATGTTGATGATCTTGTTATTTCGGGAGATAACACAGTTATGATTGCCAAGTTTAAATCCTACTTGGCCTCTTGTTTTCATATGAAGGATCTTGGTACTTTAAAATATTTTCTTGGTATAGAGGTAGCTCGGAATTCTTCTGGTATTTTCTTGTGTCAAAGAAAATACGCTCTTGATATCATTTCTGAGACAGGTCTACTAGGTGCTCGACCACTGGGTACTCCTATGGAACCCAATCATCGTCTTGCTTTATCTGAAGCCCCGCTTCTCGATGATCCCGAACCATACCGTCGCCTAGTGGGGCGTCTAGTTTATTTGTCAATCACCCGGCCAGAGTTAGCTTATGCTGTCCATACTCTGGCTCAATTCATGAAAGATCCCCGTGATGATCATTGGAAAGCAGCGCTTGGAGTAGTGCGCTATCTAAAAGGAAGTCCCGGTCAATGTATTTTTCTATCCGCTAAAAATACTCTGCAATTAACTGGATGGTGCGATTCAGATTGGGCAGCTTGCCCTTTGACTCGACGATCGTTGACCGGATGGTTCGTTCAGCTAGGCGACTCTCCCATCTCTTGGAAAACAAAGAAACAAACCACAGTTGCACGTTCCTCAGCCGAAGCTGAATACAGAGCTTTGGCCGCAGTGACATGTGAATTGAAGTGGTTAAAAGGTCTTCTTCGTTCTCTTGGGATACACCATACGACTCCTATGCAGATTCGTTGTGACAGTACCGCTAATATTCACATTGCAGCGAATCCAGTCTTCCATGAATGAACAAAGCACATCGAGGTTGATTGTCACTTTGTTCGTAATGAGCTATTACAAGGTGTGATACAAACAGAGCATGTGTCTACGACACAACAGTTGGCTGATATTCATACAAAGGCGTTGGGCAAGACACACATGGAGTCTCTTATTCCCAAGTTGGGCATCTCTCTGTTACATGCTCCAACTTGAGGGGGGGGGTGTTAAGGAAAGAAATCACAGAAATCACAAGAAATCACATAAATCACATATTTCTTCTAGCAAATATTTTCTCTTGTAATCTTGGTTTCATTATTATTATTATTCTTATTGATTCTATTTCCTTTCTATGTACCTTATAGTTTGTATATATAGGGGTGTACATCTTCTGTAATGAACAACAGAGAATATTAGATAGTTCATACATTTCTTTACAGGAAGGGATTTAATAATCCTTAATCAAAGGTCAAGGGTTCAATCTTTGACTTTAGGAATGAAGTAGCCTAAAAAAGTATTTTAATGTAAGATTAAATAGGGGAAGGTCATTATAGTTGGAACTAAAATTAATGTTTCATTTGCATTTATCTAAATACTTATAGTATTAGGTAGTAGATACTACTTTTGATTTGAATTACTCTAAGTTTTGTTAATTCACATTTTAGGTTTGTCATTGTCTTTGTCTTCATTGCTAGTCTACTTTTTATTTATTTATTTATTTATTTTTTTGTTGGCAGTGTCTCATGTGCAATTAGATTAATGGTGCTAATTTGCAAAAAAAAAAAAAAAAAAAAGAATTGATCTAATTAGTTTTGTTACATTAAAGAAATAGATGTGATAAAGTATATTATTTCGGGTCGAATTGGATGTGACCGGAAAATCAATGAGAAGGTTGAATGATATGGTCGGGAAGTTAGATAGGGATCCGACCAAACGAGGTCGGGAGACTCCGAGTGGAGTGGTGTTGGTTGGGAGCCCAAAACTCTCCCACCCCCACCCCCTCACTCCACCCCCCACCCCACCCCACGCGAAAGGTGCAATAAATGTCCTAATATTGAATATATATATTAATTAAAAATTAAATTACCTAAACCATAATTTTAATAAAATTAAATTCTACTAAAATATTATTATTTATATCACAAATTATATTTTATTAGTTTGAATTTAATTAATTTAATATAAAATAAGGATAATATATTAGTAGAATTTAATTTTTATAATTATATAAAACTTATTTATAAGTATTTAACAAAATATATAAATTTATAAAAATAAAATAAAAGATGTAAAAGGAACTAATAGAAAAAAGCATAATATTTTAGTACAATTTAATTTTGTTAAAATTATGTTTGATGTAATTTAATTTTTAATTTATATATATATATATATATATATATATATATATATATATATATATATATATATATATTTAATAATAGATAATTTGGTTTAATTGTCTTAATAAAATCTTGCAAATGATATAATTTATGTTTAATAATATAAAACTTATGTATAAGTATTTAACAAAATATACAAATACATAAAAATAATAAATGATATAAAAGGATTTAACAAATAAATATAATATAATATGATCAGGGAAGTCGAAATAAGATTTGTAACTTGTAATTGTAATAATATGAAAAGATGAGTATAAATAAGATTTGAAACTTGTAATTGTAATTATATCACAAGAGGAGTAGAAATAAGATTTGTAACTTGTTGACAAGAGGAGTAGAAATAAGATTTGTAACTTGTAATTGTAATAATATGACAAGAAGAGTTGAAATAAGATTGGTAATATGTAGGGTGTGTTTGGTTCATGGGTTTAGCTATCAAGAAATGAGAATCAAAGTCATTGGTATTATTTGGTTGATAGATTTCTAGAACACTACTATGAGATTTGATTACCCCTTAATTAGAAAACCCATTCCCTAATAAAATAAAGATTTCATTCCATTATTTCTCCTCCTAATTGGTAATTTGATTTTTAAGTTTGGATTAGTGCTTTTAGATTTATTTATTTATTTTGTTCATGTTGGTACTTTGGATGTCTTTATATAATTATATTTGAGTAAATTGTCTTGATTGTTTGTTCTTGTATTTTTAAAACTCTTTATTCCCATTATAATCATACATAACCAAACAATAATATTGGTAATCATTTCAATTCCACCCTACTACCACACATTCAAAATACTTTTACCAAAACTCATTACCATTACCAAGTATACGATTCCCATTCCGATTCTGATTCCATGTGCGAACCAAACACACCCGTAATTATAATAATATGACTAGAAGAGTTGAAATAAAATGTGTAACTTGTAATAATATGACGAGAGGAGTTGAAATAAGATTTGTAACTTAAAATTCTAATAATATGGTCAAAGGAGTCAAAATAAGATTTGTAATTTGTAATTGTAATAATATGATCAGAGTAGTCAAAATAAGATTTGTAACTTTTAATTGTACTAATATGACCGGAGCAACCTTAAATCTCCAAAAAGGCCAATTGTCCCACCCAAAAGAGGTGTCTACAATTCATCGAGGAAATTAGTCACTCTGTTCGACGGTGGAAATCTTGGTACAAAAAAAGAAAAGAAAAAAAAGACCAGAGTAGTCGAAATACTATTAAAAACTTGTGTTTTTGAGTACTACTAACTCTATTACATTGTAGTATCTGTTGCTCTATACTTTCTCAACCCAACCTGAGACTCGATCTCATGACCTCCCATATGGGAGAGTCACTACATGTTATCTGAACACAAGATGCTTGACCTATTAAAAACTTTTAATTCAAATTTATTTATTTATTTATTACAATTTTTTTTTTTTAAAAAAAAAAACGAAGAAGAAGCAGTCACCAGTCGAGGTTGCCTTCAGCCACAAATAAAATAAATTTATTTATTTATTACAAATTACAAATTACCACTAGTCGCCTTCCATCGGGGAAGACGACCAAAGTTGATCACCTTTTTTAGTAGACGGCGACCGACGATGGTTCGGCCGTTAAATAATTGTCGGAGATGATAAAATTTGTGCCATAATTCTAATGACATGTAATAGTAGGTCATTTAGCTTCATTTTTTTTTTTTTTTGAACTTCATTACTTCAATCTAACATGTTATTAAAAGATGTAATTACACTTTTTAAAAAGTTTAAAAGTCTAATTAACTTTTCAGATAAAGTTTAGGGAATTATTTTACCATTTCTCCTATTATATATGATGCTTACATATATTGTTAGTATCTAACAAATGTACTCCGCAATTACGGACTAATACGTACTCCGTATTAGAGAAAATTATGTTGTGCATCTGTATGCACCATGTATGGTGCATACGGATGCAAAAACGACGTCGTTTTGCATCAAAACGCGCGTTCTACTTAAAAAAAAATCAGTTTTGATTCCTAGCAACAACAATATGTTATTCATTTTTTAGTTCATTCATTCTGGATTTTTAGTTATGAAATTCTGGATGTATAGTTATGTATTTCTGGATGTGTAGTTATGAAGTTATGGATGTGTAGTTATGTAATTCTAGATTTATAGTTTTGAAGTTATGGATGTGTAGTTATGCAATTCTGGATGTATAGTTATGGAGTATAGATGTGTAGTTATGCAATTCTGGATTTATAGTTATGAAATTATGGATGTGTAGTTATGCAATTCTGGATTTATAGTTATGAAATTATGGATGTGATGAAATTATAGATGTGTAGTTATATAATTCTGATTTTTTTTTTTTTAAATTAAACATCAAAACGACATCGTTTTTATATCTGGATGCACCATGCATGGTGCATACAGATGCACAGCATAACGATCCCCGTATTACTTACTGGTTTTATCATAAAGAAGTTGTGTGAATGTGGTGCCAGGTATGAGGTACCCCCACCCTTTCCCCCCCAAAAATTTATTGGTGAAAAGATGGGGGCCCACATTAGGCAAGAATTGTCAAGTTACATGAATTAGATCAGACCTCATAATAACTAGTGGATTATGATTAAGATGTCATTAATCAGCCAATAAAAACAATTAGGTTTTGGACAAGAAATGAGAGGATAAAGCAATCATAATTTCCCTGGAAATTAAATTAAGGTAGGCCAATTTACTAAATTCTAGCTAAGTGGTCAAGGACCTGATATTTGACTAGTTTTAGGGTGTGTTTTTCTTACTCAATGCTCTACTCCTGTATCAGATATTTTTGTTGGGGATTTTTGTTCTTAATTTTATATTATTAGCCTAATAAATTGACTTTTTTTTTTTTTGCTACAAAATTTACAAACAAATTATTGCATAACATAATACATTGTGAATGAAGTAATAAATAGTCTAAAGCTCTTTTAAATAGTTTCAAAAAACTAACTGAAGTATAATCTTTGGATCGTAAAAGTAATTAATATACCAAAATGATATGTTATATTATGTATTGCTATCATAATATACTAGACTGTCACTAATAGTACCGCTTTTATTCATATTATAAGATAAGATTATAAGAGCAACACCAATGACCAAAGTTTGTTGTCTGATTTTTTTCACGTGAAAGTGAAAGTGTGAAACAAATGAAAAGAGAGAAAGAAAATTGTCAAAAGAGATAATGGGACCACTATCTTCTATCTTGTCTAACAAAAACCCCTCATTAGCACTAAACACCATCCCCTCTCATCTCTCTTCCGGCTAAAAAAAAAAAAAAAAAAAACTTGACAAAAAATTTTTAAAAAAAAAAAACCATGAAAAATGCTCTAAGAATATTTAGTTTCAATTTATTTATGAGTATTGTTACATTATTAATCATAAGAGCATCTACATCAAAGGAGAATTTGGGATTATTTTCAGAGAAAAAACTTCTAAAAAACTAAAGCAACAGATGTGAAGTCAAAATTTTGAAGAAATAATTTTCCTCTCCTGCAAGAACTCGGTTCAGAACTCAGTTCTTGCAGGAGAAATAAAAAAAAAATACCTGCATTTGCGCGTCAGAGGCGCAATCTTGCGCCTCAGCGGGCGCGTAAAACACACGCGCCCACTGGGACCCGTCAAAGTGGCCGCTAGCTAGCGGCCACTCTGACTTTAATACCAACTTTTTTTTTTCTGTTGTTGTTATAATTTTTTTTTTTTACCTCCCTTCCATATTCTCTTTCCTAATCACTATTACAAAGATCCCTCAAATACTGCACCAGAGTTCAACTATTATGGATGCTGTAATTATTATACTTATCGTATAAAACAATAATAAAGGAAGCGCATCAAAAGGGGCGATCGAGTGGATGGAGTATGGTATTGTATTTGAAGGTTACAAGTTCAACTTTTGTTAATATCTTAGTTAAATATGTCGCGCAAGATCTTCCTAATACGGTTAGTGGTTTCAGTTTCCCTTGTTACAAATAAAAAGTAGTAAAACGACAATAAGAGTATACCATGGCATACTGTGAATCTCAAATAAACCTTATTGTGCATTTGACGTACCACACTTTTGGTTATAGTACTAATATACAAGTATTTGGAGTTCGTTGGAATTGAGACAATTTAGCGATTTATCTCCTCCACTAAATTTATAAGACAAGAGCGATGAGGCTCTTAGGGTTAGGCTCTGTTTGGCAAACCTAGCTGAAAAGCTCTAAGCTCAGAGCTGAAAACTGAAGAGCTGTTAAGCTAGATGTTATTATTAAAAGTGTTTGGTAAAATTAACTTTTTTGATAAGCTGATAAATGTAAAAAGATTAAAAATGACATCTTCATAAAATTTAAATTAGTTTGTTTACATATTAAAATTTAACATTTTGTCTTTCAAAAAATTAACATTTTGAAATAAAACTATTAGCATAATCATGATCTAGCATCTAATAATGAAGTAGAAATATTGTTGCAAATCTCATAATAATAATAATAATAATAATAATAATAATAATAATAATAATAATAATAATAATATAATAATAATAATAATAATAATAATAATAATAATAATTGCGGTAAAAGTTGCGGATAAAGGAGAATAGAAAATAATTTTAATTGGGAAGGTTAAATTATGCCATTTCTTTAAAATAATAAGGATAAAAATGAAAAAAAAAATTAAAAAGCTAGGAGCTTATTTTGAAACGCTACCTCAGGTAGCGTTTCAAAATAAGCTCTTATTTTAAGTTAGGAGCTTATTTTGGGAACATTATCAAAAATAGCTTATAACTTATTAGTAGCTTAAAATAAACTATAAGCTCCTAAATAAGCTCGGCCAAACAGAGCCTTAGAGTGCACTATTTAAAAAAATAAAGCGGATAGTTCTTATCTCTTCAACCAACTCCTACATACTTTATACTTACACACATGTCAGAGTTGTAGCGAAAAATATACTCACCCTTATTTCTCTATCAAGACTCAGAAATTTGATTTTTTCAGAGTTGTAGCGGAAAAGATACTCACCCTTATTTCTCTATCAAGACCCAGAAATTTAATTTTTTTTTTCCAAATTTAGATTTTATTACCATACAACATATATTCTTTCTTTCTATCTATCTATCTATATAATCCTTAATTTTGGAGAACTGAAAATATATTACACCTTATAAAAATGTAAATATTATATGTAGTGTTTTAATTTTTTTCATTTTTATTTTGTGTGTAAATCCAATCAACGGCGGCCACTCTGACTTTAATACCATCTTTTTTATTTATTTTTTTCTGTTGTTGTCAAAATTCTTTTTTTTTATTTTTTTATTTTTTATTTTATACCCTCTCCCATATTCTCTTTCATAATCATCACTCTTACAAAAACTCCTCAAATACCGCACCGAAGTTCAACTATTATGGATGCTCTAATTATTATACTTATCGTATAAAACAATAATAAATGAGGTGCCTCGAAAGGGGCGATCGAGTCGGTGGAGTATGATATTGTATTTGAAGGTTACAAGTTCAATTTTTGTTAATATCCTCTCACTTAAATATGTCGCACAAGATCTTTCTAATACGATTAGTGGTTTCAGTTTCCCTTGTTACAAATAAAAAGCAGTAAAACGACAATAAGAGTATAAGACCATGGCATACCGTGAATCTCAGATAAACCTTATTGTGCATTTGGCGTACCACACTTTTGGGTATAGAACTAATATACAAGTATTTGGAGTTGGCAAGAATTGAGATGATTTAGCGATTTATCTCTTCCACTAAATTTATAGGACAAGAGCGATGATGCCCTTAGGGTTAGAGTACACTATTAAAAAAAAAAAAAAAAAAGCGGATAGTTCTTATCTCTTCAACCAACTCGTACATACTTACACACATGTCGGAGTTGTAGCGGGAAAGACACTCACCCTTATAAATTTGATTTTTTTTTTCCAAATTTAGATTTTATTACCATACCACATATATTCTATCTATATAATCCTTAATTTTGGAGAACTGAAAATATATTACACCTTATAAAAATGTAAATATTATATGTAGTGTTTTAATTTTTTCATTTTTTTTTGGGTGTAAATCCAATCACTGGTTAAGTAACTAACCCTAGTTAAATTAAATTGCTTAAAGATTAGAGCTACTAGTACCCCATCTTTATCTGACTTCTGAGTTCTGAATTCTGAGCTGAGACTAATTATTTTATCCCCAAAATTTTGATTATTTGAACATCCCACACATATACTTTTCTCCGAGTAAGACAGAATACCCCAACTGAGACGACTTTTCAGTTTCAGTCCCTCTGTTCCCACTCTTCTCATTTCATCATTCTCTCTATAAATTTGGTAGCCGACAATTTCTCCGACCAATCTTCTCTTTCATCGCCCGCCCGGAATTCTCTTCACTTGGCTTATCCAGAAGTTTCGCCGGGAAATCAAGATTTTTTTTCTGAGATTCGAGATTTTAGTTTGAGCTCCTCCTAAAATTTGCTTAACTTAAGCTGCTTTTTTGTTTGTTTGGAAACCAATTTGCGTGAAGATTGAATTTCACCGTTTTGCATCGCCGCCGGTGGGTTTGTTTGCCGGATTTTATTGTCTGCTGAGCTTTGAGTTGATTCTTTGCCGAAATTATTTGTTGGTCAGAGCTGGGGGTTGACTGGTAGATGCTGAGAAAGCTAAACCCTAGAAAAGTTTCATCATAAATGTCCAAAAGTTTCCCTTTTTAGCGACCCCAAAGGACCGTGGAACATCTGCGCCGCCATGCCGGTCGATGCCGATAACTCCTCCGCCGTGAACGACTCCACCGGTTCCGGCGAAGCCAGCGTCTCTTCATCTGGGAATCAAGCGGCTCCTCCAAAAGCAACCAGCAAGAAAAGGCGAAACCTCCCCGGAATGCCAGGTAATCCGTTTGACTGTAAAGCTAAGTATTGGATTTACCAAAATCTGATTTTTATTTTTTCTGGGTTTTCAAGATCCTGATGCAGAGGTGATTGCTTTATCACCCAAGACTCTATTAGCTACAAATAGATTTGTTTGTGAAATCTGCAACAAGGGGTTTCAAAGAGACCAGAATTTGCAGCTTCACAGAAGGGGTCACAATCTGCCATGGAAGCTAAGGCAGAGATCAAGCCAGGAGGTGAAGAAGAAGGTTTATGTTTGCCCTGAACCCACCTGCGTTCACCATGACCCTTCTCGAGCTCTCGGCGATTTGACCGGAATCAAGAAGCACTTCTGCCGGAAGCACGGCGAGAAGAAGTGGAAGTGCGATAAGTGCTCCAAGAAATATGCAGTCCAGTCTGATTTGAAGGCTCATTCCAAGATTTGTGGCACCAAGGAGTATAAATGTGATTGTGGGACTTTGTTCTCAAGGTCAAATTCTTGATTCCTTATTATATTTCTTTAAAAGAGAGAACAAGCTAAAAAGTAGAGTTTTTTTGATTGGATACTGATATCTGAAGACTAGTTTTTTACCTTTTTTTTGTTTGATAATGGTGTAGGAAAGATAGCTTTATTACACACAGGGCATTCTGTGATGCTTTAGCAGTGGAGAGTGCTAAAGCTCAGACAGACATGGCAGCTCCAACTGCTGATGAGGAACCAGTCCCTCCATCATCTTCACCGCCACCGCCACCGCCAGCCATAGCCCCGCCACCTCCGCCACCAGTAACCCCGCAGTCAACACCTGCAATACCCTCGGTTTTGGCTGTTCAAAATCCAGGTAGTTCCAAAGTGTAAAGTTTCTAAATTTGTCTAGGATTTGGAATTTAGCATATTTGTCTTATATAAGCAACCCAACAAAAAATGTTGTATTTTCTGGGGTACTGATCTTGGAATTTACTTTGTTTTTGTCTATTATTAGTTCTTGTTCTTTTGTGATGCTTAGTAGATGCAACTTGTTAGCAAGTGAGAATTTCGTGTAAGAAATATGTTGGGCCAAGTCCAGCACTCTGCCTTTCGAAAATGTGGCACTGGTGTAGTGGTAAGCGTTTGATCTGAACAAAATAGCACTTGGATAGAGAATCAATTAGAATTTTCGAATTAAAAATTGAAACTTTCCTGTGCTATCATTTGAGAAGCAAGAAAAAAAGGTAGGGGATCTTCAGCTAAAAGATATTAGTAAAGTGTGTTTTAGAAAGGTGACTATCATTGATTCTTCCTTTACACTTCTTTAATAAGAAACGCTTAAACTTTTCCTGACATCTTTTTTAAAAAATATATCTTTTGTGTTTCCATTCACTAATGATCACTAATTATGCAGGGTTGCCGGAGAATCCGAGCACAAATCCTGCTGGATCCACCCCCAAACAGGTAGTGGAAGAAACGACGGTGATAGCAAGCTTAACCGGGAGCTGTAGCTGTAGTAGCAGTTCGAGCAGCAATGGAAGTAGTAGCAGCAGTGTATTTGCGTGCTTATTTGGATCGGCAACACCTTCGGGGACGTCTAGATCTCAGGCCTCGGGATTTGCTGACATGTTTCAATCCATGGGGGCTCCCGAGAAGACGCTTGAAATAGCACCTCAGCCATCGTCCAAAGAAACCGTATCTCTCTGCCTAGCAATGAACCACGGTTCGTCAATCTTTGGCCCGGGTAGTCAAGATCGAAGGCAGTTTGGTCCAGCACCCCAACCCCCGGCCATGTCTGCAACCGCATTACTACAGAAGGCTGCTCAGATGGGCGCAGCAGCAACAAACTCGTCGTTTCTAAGGGGGCTCGGGATTGTTTCCTCGTCCTCGCCTTCTAGACAAATTGAGACCGATGGGGCATCGTTGGCTACTGCAGGCCTGGGGCTCGGTCTGCCCTGCGATGGGGGTTCGGGTTTGAAAGAACTGATGTTGGGGACCCCCTCCGTCTTCGATCCCAAACATCCAACTCTCGACCTTCTGGGATTAGGGATGGCTGCCGGTGGAGGCCCTTCCCCGGGGCTTTCTGCTCTAATGACTTCCATGGGTGGGAACATCGATGTGGCTGCTGCAGCAGGATCATTCGGGAGCACAGATTTCTCCGGCAAGGACATAGGCAGAAGCTCGTGAGATTGATCAACATACCTCGTCGAGGATCAAACGAAGACGAGAAATGCCATAAATGAATCTAGCGAGGTACTAATGACTCTTTTGCTTTCCTTACATGCTATAAGGAAGAAATCCTAATCTTTCCACTGTAATATACCCCCCAAAAAAAAACAAAATGGAGGTGTTATTTGGTTAGAATGTAAGTATTATTAATAAATTATATTGAGTGGAAAATTAGCATCAACATTGTAGTTTTGTTATTGGGTGAGTGGATGATGCACTCTCCACAATTGTTGTATCTGAACAGCTCTATAATTACTCCCCCCTCATTTTTTGCCACCTAGTTGCGTTTTATGCCCCTGTTAAATTTGGTTTCCATATTGGAATAGGAATCGTAATGGGAATAAAATACTTGATAATGGTATGAACTTTTGTGAAAATATTTTGCAGGTTTGGTAGTAGACTGGAATTGGAATGATTGTCAATTACCAATATTAATATTTGGTTATGTATGACCTTATAATGAGAATAAAAATTTTAAAGATACACAAATAAAAAATCAAGGCAATTAATCTTAATATAATGACATCTAACATTAATATGAACAAAAAGCAAAAATTTAGAAGCACTAAATCAAACTTAAAAATTATATTACCAATGAGACAGAATGATACATTTTTTAATTAGGAAATGCGATTTTTAATTGAAGGAGTAATCAAATTCCATAGTTGTGTTTTAAAATGTTAACGAAACACTGACTATGATTTTGATTCACATTCTTAGTGTGTAAAACCATGAACCATTTGTTAAGTAATTGTTTCTGGATTCGTTCAAAAAGTTTGGGATTCCGAATCTCATTAAAAATAATCAGAGAAACATATTATGTATATGTAGTTAACATAGTATACATTCTATTTATTTACAAACACATTATTAATGGTAGGTATAAAATATGTTAGTTATAAATACATAAGTTTTGGTATAACAATTGACTATAACCTATTTGTCTCAAGAATTAACATAAAAAAGAACAAGGATTTGAGCAGAAGTGACATAATTTGGAGATAGGTATAAGTCAACGATTTAAGTCATTTAACTATGATTTTTATTTTTTGGTTAGGTATTTTGTCCTAACTTGTAGTGTTGGCTTTAATATTCGTCGCCTGCACCTTAAACAATGCTAAATGTAAACGTGTCTCTATCCTCCAACCAGAAAATTATTTGTTACACTACAGGAAAGTTTAATACTTTGTCATCAATTAAATTTATGAAATATTTCAAGTAATGTATTTGATAGAATAACTTTGTAAAAAATAAAATAAAATAATTACTATATTTGGTATTACTTAGAAACATAATAATGAAATTACGTAAAAAAATAATAATTAAGATGCTTAGTTTCTTTAAACTTTTCTAGAATTTTTTAAAAATATTTAATATATCCTTGTTACATACAAACATTAAAAAAACATAACGATGAGAATTTAATAAATCATCACTTGTAAATTAATAAATTATATGTCAAAAAAATCCAGATTGCAACAAGAATAATCAAAATACAATACAGTATATATGTCAAAAACTGTTGAGAGAGACAAATTTTTTTGATAAATAGTGTTGTTATCTTTCGCAATGGTAAGAGGGACAAATTTCTTATATTTAAAAGGGACTTTAACTTACACTAAAAATTATAAATATATAATTGAATAAATTTGGAAGATTCTCAATCACTCCCAACACTGAGGTTCAAACTCATAACCTTTCAAATGAAAGTCCAATCTAGGTATCATTAGACCACATAGTCTTGGTATCTAGTGAGATTTACTTTCCTTGATATCATGAAATTAGATTATCACTGAACCAATTTTTTCTAAATTAAATGTTGCACAATACATAAGAATAATTTTTCACCTTTTTAAAATTTTAGACAAATTTAAACTTTCCCGTTTACCAAATGCCATAAAAAAGTTATCCCCAAACTTTCATAGTTATCACAACTGTGATTCTTGCAGAAATGCAACATTTTGAATTTCTGATTCAAGAAATGATAAAATGGTAATTTTTTTAGTAAACGGTTGAATGGCAGAAATGTAACGGAGAACTAATTATAAGAAACAAATAAAAGTTAAAAATGTAATGAAATAAAATTAAAAATAATAAAGCTAAATATGATAATGTCATAATAGTCAAATACTAAAAAGTGATATTTACTCCATAATAATATATAAATTCGCTAAATACTAAAAAGATAACAATATCATTCCAATTAATTACGTACCATGTACTGTGAATATGTGATGGTATTTCGGTTACCATTTCAAATGGGTTGTCATAAGTTCGAACTTTGGTGGTTGGGACTTAGATTCTTTGTGCTGAAAATGTTTGAAAAAGTATAAAACAGATATTATCTTGTAAAGAATCATGAGTATTTAAAAATAAAATACAACAATATACTATAAGTACAATTGTTAAACAATATGTTGCAAAATACAGTGAAGAAAGGGAAAAGAACAAAGAAAGATTAGCCGGCAATGATTAAAAGGAGATGGTTGTTGTGGGTAGAAAAGACATTAAGAGTATGGATTAACTGAATGTGGCATAGGCCATTAATATTTTGAAAAGAATCTGATGGCCATGTGAGGGCTCATAACAGAAACGCATCTGATACCAACAATTATTATTGTTATTATTTTTTAAAAAATACTAATTAATAGTAGCAACTGGTAGACTGAAATCGATTTTTAAAGGGAATTTTCAAATGTGTTTTATTGTTTTATAATAGTTGTTGGTCATTAACACTACATAAAATTAGATTATTTTTTGCATGAAGTCACGATACCATTGACGTCTGCACCTAACGGAGTTATTTATTTATTTATTGATGTATTTTTGTTTCCTCAAGTGTTAGTTTAGTAATTTGGGTTGATTTGATTTTCTGGCCTGGCCGTCTCGGTCAATTAAAGCGCAAATTATGTTGTGTAACCGTGTGCACCATGCATGGTGCAAACGATTGCAAAACGATACCGTTTATTATGATAGAGTAACGGTGTCATTAGTGGTACCGTTTAACTCCACCAATTAAATAATTTTATTTTATTTTATTTTTATTTATTATTATTATTATTATTTTTTTTTTTTTACAAAAGCTCCAATCGACGTGTAATTATGAATATAGTTATGCAAGTCTGAATATATAGTTATGAAGTTATGGATGTGTAGTTATGCAATTATGGATATGGTTCTCTGTGAACAAGCACATTAAGAATTATGAATATGGAGTTATGTAATTATAAATGTCTAGTTGTGAAATTATGAATATATGGATATGAAATTATGAATTTGTAGTTATTATTTCTGAATGTACTGTTGTTAAATTATGAATATATAGTTATGTAATTCTGGACATATAGTTATGTAATTCTGGATATATAGTTATGTAATTCTAGATATATAGTTATGAAATTGTGGATATATAGTTATGAAATTATGGATATATCCTACTGTTTGAATACGAAAGGAAATCGCCTAACGCCGTTAACGACGATCCGAACAGGATTTTTTTAAAAAAAATGAAACGACGTCGTTTTGCAACCGTGTGCACCACGGTTGCACAACATAACGATTGCAATTAAAGCTATGGATGGCAATGGGTCCAGCAATTATATCGTGGACCATGGTTCAAAAAGGGCACCATTTCTTTAAGTAAAGAAATAACAGTCGTTATAGTTTAACGTAACGCGTATTTTTGGTGTGTTAATTACCAAATGAAACTACAGTGTATCTAAACTGACACTGCCTCACGTATTATTTTTATATTATCAAATGAAACTGCAGTTGAATTGAAATGAAACTGTACTGATATCAGTTTTCAAAAAAAAAAAAAAAAACTGATATCAATTTCACATATTTGAGTGTATATTGTCTAGCAAAACTGAAGTTATATCAAAATGATACTATATTTGTGTTGAAATGAAACTGCAGTATATATAAAATGAAACTGAATAACATTTCACATATTTGAGTGTATATTGTACATTATATCGAAATGATAATGTAGTTGTGTTGTAATGAAACTATAGTGAATATAAAACGAAACTGAATAACATTTTCACATATTTGAGTGTATAATATCGAATGAAACTGTAGTTATATCGAAATGAAACTGTAGTTGTGTTGAAATAAAATTGCAGTGTATACAAAATGAAACTGAATATGTTATACAATCAAAGTTACTTTTTGCGGACGGCACTGAACATGTGCTGTTTCTTTTCATTAAAAGAAACGATACCGTTTTGATGCCTGGACCACAATGTATTGTGGACCGCAGTCCACAGTATAATTTGCCCGTCGGGATGGGTCAAAGATGCTACATCCATCACCCAATGCATCTTATATTTTCTCCACTCACTCCCATCCCCACCACCCCCAACTCGTATTGGGTGAGTTTTTTCAAAATCTATTCCCACCCTACCGAGTGCGGGTGTACACTACGGGTACCCACCACTTATCATCTTATTTTTTTTTTTTTTTTCAAAAAATAATATTTAAATTACTTACACATAATAAAATAATAAAATTTTACTAAAACATAAAATAATAAAAATATTTAAATATAACAACTAAATAGTTAATTTTTAAAAATAAATTTGGTAGCTTAGATATAAAAATAGTAAAAAGTTACACGAAGTTATAAAAACTTTTATAAATAACTACTCCATATATACTAGTATTTATTTTACTATTATATATATTCGCACGCACACATACATGGTGGATCGGGTGGAGTTCTAGGCGGGTTTTGTACATATAACCTGAATCCAACCCGACCCACAATGAGTTTCCTTGTTTTTAAAACCCACTCCAACCCACCACACACTATCACTCAAAAAAAAAAAAAAAAAAAAAAAAAACCGATGGAGAAATTTAGTTGTCATTTAACAATGTATTTTACAAATTATGAATTTGTCAACTCCAAATGATTCATCATTGTCATTTTGTTTAATTAGTAAGCATAACTATACAAATTTTAAATATATGAATATCTAGTCTAATCCCCGTCCCGTTGTCATCCCTAATTACAAGCTAAATAAAAGACCTATTAGATTTTAGCATGCGAGTTTATATATAAACTAAAAAGAGTATGAATGGAAGGCTATGTGATATTTTTCAATGCCAACTTTTGCATAAATTCAATTTAATATTTGTGCACACTAGATCTATATCACACAATAATGACTTTGCTATTTGGTTATTGCCTTTAGAATGGACCTTGTATGCCAAACTAAGATGATAAAATTAGATTTAAGCATTCTTTATTAAATGGT